GTTCTTTCCCTCTGGGGCCGCCGGCACTGGTCGCTGTCAGGACACTGGGCTAGATGGACCCTTGGGCTGCGCCAGTATGAGCCGCACGGCCCTTCTTGTGTTAACACGCGCGGGTGCTCTTGCACGTGTTGGGCCCTTGGTGTTGCACACCAAACACTTCGGCCTGTGCACTGCGTGTCGGGAGGGAGTGAGGCTCGGGCCCCTGGGGTGTAGCTGGGGCGGGGGGGCGGAATTGGGCCTTGCACCTTGGAAGTTGCGGTCTTTACCCCTCCCCGCCTCTGGACTCAGCTGGGAGGATTTGTATTCAAAATGGAGGCGGGTGGGCGGGAGAAAACTACACCTCCCGTGCTGCCGCGGGGGCGGGAGAAACTACATCTCCCGTCATGCTCGGCGAAGAGGGCGCGCGCGCAGCCCCTCCGTGACGCTACCGCCCCGCGCACCCGCTTCCGGAACTGGCCTATAAAAGGGGGCGGGCGGCGCGGGCCACTCTCTCTCGGCTGTTGTCGCCGCCATTTTGTCGGAGCGCGGAGGCTCTCGGCGCCATCCGCCGCCATCCGCGGGCACTGAGCCTGGGCCGCCATGAGAGCTAAGGTGGGTGGGGCCGGGGCCTGCAGGGGGCGGCGGGAGCGGGCCGGGGCCTGCTGGGGGAGCGAGGGGGCTGGGCCTGGCCCGGCGGGAGGAAGCGAGGTTATGGGGGGGGCCCTTCCCTTCCAGTGCTGGGGGCGGGGTCGGGGGGTAGCTGCCCCCCATGCTCGTGCTGCAGGGGGAGCCCCCCCCCCCACAAGCCCTGGGCACTGGCCGCTCCAGGCACGTGGGGCTGGGCTGGGGGCTGATTCCCTTCCCCCCCCACCGGGCACCTGCCCCCTTGGGGTAAGGGGGGGCTGGCGGGTTCCCCTCTGCCGGGCCCTATTGCTCCGCGGACCCTAGCCCGTGTCCTACCCCCCCAGCAGTAAATCCCCAGGGAAACCCGGGGCGATGTGCCGTTCGCTGCCTTCGCTTCCCATCGGGCACCGTTTCTTTGCTCCGCGGTAACGGGGGGGGGGGCTGGAGACACGTGGGGGAGGTTGCGCTCGCTGTTAATAAGCTGCTGACTCTTGTGTGTTTCCCTCTTTCCTCTAGTGGCGAAAGAAGCGTATGCGCAGGTATGTGAGTGAGCTCTGGTTCTGACTTGTTTGGCCCGGTGCCTTACCGGCCTTGCCCCACAGGCTGGTCCGCTGACTGACTCTTTTATAAAACCTAAATCTTGTGAGCTGGCCCTCTCGGAAGGTATTAACATGCCTGGCTCAGATGGTTGATCACGCTTGGTAAATAGGGAGTGGGGGGAATAGGGAGTTAGTTGCCTGTCTTGATGTCAGCACTGCATCCCACATCCCTCAGGCGGATTGATGAAGGTTAAAGTACATTTATTTCTGTTGTGTCTAGAGGCCTCAGCTGAAATTGGGAGCCCACGGTGCTAGACCCCATAAAAACTCAGTCAGACACGGGCCTTGCCCCAAAGAGTTTGCAGGCTAAATTGATGAGACAAGCCGGAGGGTGTAGGCGGTATAAAGTTCTGTAGTAGGATTTGGGTTAAATTCCTGTTTCTACTGCACACATGGTTGTATGACTTTGAGTAAGTGTCTCGTACCTCTATTCCTCTTCTGTAAAATGGTGATAAGGCTACTTCAGGGTGGGGAGTGAAGAGAGAAACATTGATACATGTGAAGTGCTTTGTGGTGTATGACATCCTAAACCTTTAAATAGGCTGCATCCACTGTAAACACTGCTTTTCTTGGGTCGGGGGGTTGTGCAGAACTAAACCTATTTTATTTCCAGTTAATATTTCTTCGCTCATCTGGCAGTGCTGTGTAAGTATAAGAGCAGCCAGGCCAGCTCAGAGCTAAAACTGCCTGTCTCCTCTGGCATTTTCTAGCTTTGGTGTAACTAGCTGTTCTGTGTTAAGCATGGCAGGTAAGGGTGACCTGTTTTAACTGAGGGATCAAATTTATTGTAGGAATTAGTACATCAGGGGTTTACACAAGTCTCTCCTTATTGTATATGTTTAAAATAAGCCATTAAAACACTGTAGCAAAGATGCAAAGTTCCTTTTCCAGACTCCAGACAGAGTAAACATGCATTTGTTACTGTTTTTAGCTGTTCCAGTTTCTGCTCTGCTTTTACATAAGATCTGAAACTTCCGTTTAAAACTCTGGAAAGGCAAGCAGGAGTAGGCTTAAGTCTAGACCCTCTCCTTTCCCCGTTTCAAACTGTCCTTAGCGGTAGAGCTAGCCTCACTACTGAAGGTGCTGTCCTTGTTGGTATTCTGTCCCCAGAAATGTGGACAATGAAATAGGTTACTCAGTTTCTCGTAATTTTACTCTTGTGCACTAGGGTTAGGTGACAGACATTGCGGGGTTCTAGTTCTCTTTAAAAACTGCACATCATAACTTTTTTCCAAAACTCTTGACAGGCTTGTCCTTACACAAAAGGGGTTTGGCCTGATAACGACTTGTTCAAAGTCCGTTTAACCAGATAGCTTTGTTACTGTGCTGATATTCTTTCTCTGATGGGCTAAAATTGTCTTTCTCAGGCTGAAGCGCAAAAGGAGAAAGATGAGGCAGAGGTCTAAGTAGATGTCTTCTCTGCCACTACTGAGGCTGCAAAGCAGAGCAAAGAAACGTGGGAGCTTGGGTCGCTGACCTCCAGACACAACTACTTCCTGGTGTTGGTGATAGGAGTGCTTTCCTAGCCGTCTCCAAGAGTTTTCCATCTTAAGAATGAAGGTCTCATCTGTATGGGTGGTAGCCCTGAGCTTTGACGTTCTGGACTGGTTCTGGTCTTTGTAGTTGAATGTGGCAGGTATACAATAAAAACCTGGTTTGGCTGGGAATTCAGCATGTTTTTTCTTAATGTTGTGTTTAAATAGCCCCAAGTTGATTTTAATACAATCTCAATGTGATCTCTAGGCATGTATGTAACTTGACTTTTAAAGACGCTTGACCTGCATCATTCAGCCCTCTTCTGGTTGGCTTTCTGGGCCCTTTCCCAATACACACTGTTGCATGGCCTGTCTGAGAATAAGAATCCACTGAATATAGAAATCACTTTTGCTGAAGATGTGACTGGGGAAAGGGTTCAAATGTCCAGGCCACAATGCAACACTGCTGTGAGTTGTATGAATGTGGTGCACGGTGCACATATACCCTGCTGCACTTTTATGCAGGTGTAGCCTTCAGAATTAACCGTGCTGGGTTCACACTGGTCTCTGAACAGTGACTTCCCAGTATAAGTGTTGGTTTTTGTGCTGAGAGCATGGACAGAATGTAATGCTCTGCCACTTGTCAGACATTTCTGCATCGCATCAGGCTTTATCCACAAGTTACATTCCCCTGATGAAGTGGGTATATAGTGTAGTGAGACACTTTCTGGTGAGAAGTGGATGGTGTAACCGCTTGCATGAAGGGTAACCCCTTTCCCAAAAGGCTACCTGCCCTTTAATTGAAACTTCAAGGAAATGAACTCCAATTTATAGCACCCTTCACTGAAGACTTCAAAGCGTTTAACAGCAACAGCATTAACCCTTGGAAGAGAGGATAATCCTGCATATGCTGAAAATATAAACATTGAAAACTGGATGGTGGATAATTCTCTGCCAACCCCTCCTAGCGTAACTAGTCATGATGGCTGGTACAGTACAGTGACCTAACGTAATGAGGACAGGTTTCAGAGTAGCAGCCGTGTTAGTCTGTATTCGCAAAAAGAAAAGGAGGACTTGGGGCACCTTAGAGACAGACTAATTTATCGGAGCATAAGCTTTCGTGAGCTACAGCCCACTTCATCGGATTGGTTAGTCTCTAAGGTGCCCCAAGTCCTCCTTTTCGTCGAGCTTTGTAAGAGGCCCTCTAGCTCTGGGTGGACCGGCTAACTTTTCTTGTCATGTCCCTAAGCGTTTGGCCTATGCAAAAGGACCACCGGTGTGATCCGAGTCCTGGGCAAGCTGCTTAGCTGTGGGGACTCTCCCAATACGCTGCCCCCATCAAGGGCAACTACAGGTGACCTCAACCTGCTCCGTGTAACCCGCAGCGTGAGCAGGGGGGCGTGGGTGAGCCAGCACGGGGGTTAAGGGGGGGGGCGAAGGGGCAAAGGAAGCTGCGGGGTTGAGCCGGTTGCCGGGGGCGGGGCCTGTGTTTCACTCGCACCCTGTTGCGCAGGGGGCTGCCATGGGGCTGCTGTTGGCTGGAGACCACGTGGTCTTCCCCTGTGAGGGCATATGATCTCAGGCCCCGCCCACCGCCATCTACTAGGAAGCGGGGCCTTGTCGCTATGGTGACCCTGACGGACCGCGCGCGCGCTGCATGCTGGGAGGCCTCCGCTTCCGGCCGGGGGCCGGAAGGACCATAGAGTAGTTCCGCTGGAGGGCGGAAGGGGCCGCTCTTTGTCGCTGCTGGAGCAGGACGCGGCCGGAGAGCGGGTGAGCGAGGCGGGCCCGAGCAGGGGCTTGGGGGGGGGGGCCGGATCCCCCGAGCCCCCCCGTCCGGCCCCTTCAGGCTCCTCCCCCCAGGGCCCATGGGTCCCCCAGGGCTTCTGGCCCAGACCGTGGGGGAGGGGGCTATCCCTGAGTCCTCCCCCCCCTTGTTCTCTGGCCCAGTCCATGGGGGGCGGTATCCAAATCCCCCCAAAGGCCTCCCCCACCAGGGGGGGGGGGGCCCCCCGCCCCCCCCACCAATGGCCTCTGGCCCAGTCCATGGGGGCTGCACCATGGGGGGGGTTACCCCTGAGTCCTCCCCCCTTTTCTCTCCCAGTCCATGGCGGTATCCCAAAGTCCTCCCCCCCCCAACCCCCTCTGGCCTGGTCCTGGGGGGGGGTCGCCCCCCCCTTTTCTCTGCCCGTCCAGGGGGCGGTTTCCCAATCCTCCCCCACCCCCTCCCAGTCCATGGGGGGGGTTACCCCCCCTGGCTGGCCTGGGCCCCCCCCCCTTCCCCTCCCCCCCCCCCCCCGGGGGGGGCCCGGTGCTCATCTGTGTCTGTGGCTCAGTGGGGATGAGGCCCCAGAAACACCTGCTCTGAGGCAGCCCAGGTGGGCGGGTCTGGGGGGGCCAAACCAGCAGAGTTATGGCAGCTCGGCTCAGACATCAGCACCGGTCGGACTCCTGGGTTCCCGGCCCGGCACTCTCATGGACTCGCCACTGACAGAGCTCGCGGTCAGGAAACCCTTGGCTTACGTTTCACAAGCTGTCTTGTGTGTGTAGGAGCTATTCCTGGTATTTTGGTGGGTCACACCAAAATGGTGGCTATCCACCAAAGTAACTCTAGGTGGCGGATTTACTCTACCTAGGAAGATTTAAGATGCAGAGGGCTTTCTCCACCAGCTTCTAATAAAGTGAGCTCAGGTTCCCAAACAAACACAGTTAGTAACAATCTTTTGCACTTCCTTCAATTTTTCATTAAGTAAGTTTATGAATATGATCATATGATACAATAGCAGGGGACTGGACTCTGACCCAGGAGGTCCCTTCCAGTCCTATGTTCCCATCCTTACTCAAAAAGGCTGAGGGTTTATTAGCTTTCTCTTGCATGCCTTTGGATGCATGTATAAGCAGCTTTTGCTCTACTGCCTTGATTTACAAAGTCAGCCAGGTGGAATGTTATTCATTATTTGTAGTGTAGTAGCTCCTAGGGCCCTGATCCCAGCCCCGTTGGGCTAGCTGCTGTAGATGCAACAATGGCCCTGCCGTAGAAAATTTACTCTCTGCCTCTGGATGTAACCATATGTGATGGCAGACTCCCCCTACCCTGAGATATATACAATTCAGGATATAGAATTCAGACAAGAGCTCTCGCCTGCTGCTACACCTCACATGCTGTAAAGATACACACCTGGATATCTGACACTAAGCTGTGTGGCAGCAAGGGGATTGCACATACCCTGCTGGGCGTGTGTGATTTAAAATAAAAGTCGCTGCCATCTTGATTTAAGAACACAAGAACGGCCATACTGGGTCAGACCAAAGGTCCATCGAGCCCAGTATCCAGTCTACTGACAGTGGCCAGTGCCAGGTGCCCCAGAGGGAATGAACAGAACAGGTAATCATCAAGTGATCTATCCCCTGTCGCTCATTCCCAGCTGCTGGCAAACAGAGGCTAGGGACATCATCCCTGCCCATCCTGGCTAATAGCCATTGTTGGACCTATCCTCCAGGAAGTTCTCTAGTTCTTCTTTGAACCCTGTTATAGTTATGGCCTTCACAACATCCTTTGGCAAGGAGTTCCACAGGTTGACTGTGCTTTGTGTGAAAAAAATACTTCCTTTTGTTTGTTTTAAACTTGCTGCCTATTAATTTCATTTGGTGACCCCTAGTTCTTGTGTTATGAGAAGGAGTAAATAACACTTCCTTATTTACTTTCTCCACACCAGTCATGATTTTATAGATCTCTATCATATCCCCACTTAGTCGTCTCTTTTCCCAGCTGAAAAGTCCCAGTCTTATTAATCTCTCCTCATACGGCAGCCGTTCCATACCCCAAAGCATTTTTGTTGCCCTTTTCTGAACCTTTTCCAGTCCAATATATCTTTTTTGAGATGAGAATACTGCACACAGTATTCAAGATGTGGGCGTCCCATGGATTTATATAGAGGTAATATGATATTTTCTGTCTTCTTATCTATCCCTTTCTTCATGATCCCCAACATTCTGTTCACTTTTTTGACTGCCGCTGCACACTGAGTGGATGTTTTCAGAGAACTATCCACACTGACTCCAAGATCTCTTTCTTGAGTAGTAACAACTAATTTAGACTCCGTTGTTTTATATGTAGAGTTGGGATTATGATTTGGGCCCTAATCCTCTTTTAACGTCAGATAGAGAGCTGTGAAATCGGCCCCATCTGCTTTGGACTTGACTAATATTAAATGGGTGACTACTAGCTTGTTTTGATTATTTTTTAATTTCATTAGGACTTTGATCGCAAATCAAGTCAGCTCCTCTAGCTGTGATTCAGCCTGGGGTGACTGAAGATTTTGGATCTTACAGGTAAAGCTGAGCCTTTTTGAACAGGCGGTCTCAGTTAAAGGGTCTGGTGAGGTCAAAAGACAGGCAGATGTTAAATGCATTTGGACACCTAGAGTTGTGGATATTGGTTTGTAGCGGAAGGAGTCTGAGCCTCACTTGCTTAGAGACCCAGGCTGTGGAGGTTTCGAACTGGCAGCCGAAGCCACGATTAAAACTCGGCAGCCTTGCAAATTCTACTCACTGTATCTGGCTTACAGCGGTGCTATTGACTTTGAGCAGAACAGTGTATTTGGATGAATGTCTGAAAGCTCCTTGGTTTTTATGCAATGAGCTGGCAAAGTTCGGGGCGTCGAGCTGGATCATGTGCTGTAAGCAGTACAACAAGGTCTGTGCAGAAAAAGTTGATAGCTTCTCTCAAAGTTGAGGGGTTCTGATTTTTTGGGAGGCTGGGGCCTGTATCTCAGGAACCCCTTGGTCAAATGGCTCCAAATTTGTATCACTAACCCTACCCAGTATCCCCATGAGGCACACCACGTTGCCTGAGTAGCCATGCGGATTTTGCAGCACTAAGAGTCAAACTTTATCCCGAAAACTGGTCATAACCTTAACAACAGCAGAGGCCGGCGGCTTGCTGTAATTCCTCAGGGCCGATATTTCCCTGCCAGCTACACCAGAACAGTTCCTGCCTTTAAGTTAGGATCCCCCACTTCCCCCTCCCCGCCTTGCTTTCTCACACCCTACCCCCTCTCCTCTTTTGCAGTTGCCTGAGCTCATACCAACAGGAGGGGAGGGCGTGGGTGGGAAAATGCCCGACCGCGACAACTACAACAATGGCAGTAGCAGCGATGAGGCGGGCGCCAACTCCGACGACATCTGCCGCGACTTCCTGCGCAACGTCTGCAAGCGAGGCAAGCGATGCCGCTTCCGGCACCCCGACATCAGCGAGGTCACCAACCTGGGCGTGCGCAAGAACGAGTTCATCTTCTGCCACGACTTCCAGAACAAGGAGTGCGTGCGCCTCAACTGCCGCTTCATCCACGGCACCAAGGAGGACGAGGACTGTTACAAGAAGACGGGGGAGCTGCCCCCGCGCCTGCGCCAGAAGGTGGCGGCTGGGCTGGGCCTCTCCCCAGCGGACCTGCCAAACAGCAAGGAGGAGGTGCCGATATGCAGGGACTTCCTGAAGGGCGACTGCCAGCGGGGAGCCAAATGCAAGTTCCAGCACTTGCAGCGGGAGTACGAGTATGAGGCCCGGGTCATCGCGGCCCGGGAGCCGGGCATTGCCACCACCGTGCGCCGCTATGACCCCTACGACGTCATGTACGACCCCGACCGCTACGACGACCACGACCCGGTGCTGAAGCGGAGGCGGGTGGACGGGCTGCACTTCGAGACCTACGAGTACAGCTTCACCAGCCCGCGCACGGTGGAGTACCGGCTCCTGGAGGAGGAGAACGTCCTGCTGCGCAAGCGCGTGGAGGACCTCAAGAAGCAGGTCAACAACCTGCTGGCGACCAACGAGGTGCTGCTGGAGCAGAACGCCCAGTTCCGGAACCAGGCCAAAGTCATGACTCTCAGCTCCACCGCCACGGCCACCGAGCAGACCCTGGCCCCAACCGTGGGCACTGTCACCAGTTATAACCACAGCATTGCCCAGACCCACACCACGCTCAGCAGCCAGGCCCTTCAGCCACGGCCTGTCACCCAGCAGGATTTGGTGGCTCCGGCCGGAGCCCAGGCAGCACCCCCCACCAACGCGGCACCCCCCATGAACCCGGAAATCACCCCGCTCTCGGCTGCTCTGGCTCAGACCATTGCGCAGGGCATGGCTCCTCCAGTCTCCATGGCGCCCGTGGCGGTGTCGGTGGCACCCGTGGCGGTTTCGATGGCGCAGCCGCTGGGAGGGATAACCATGAGCCATGCCACCACGCCCATGGTGACGTACCCCATCGCGTCGCAGAGCGTGAGGATAACGGCCATGCCGCACTAACGCCCCCAGAGGGCCCCGCGCACTGCCGGGGGCCGGTGCCGTTCCGAGCCGCCCCCGGCAGGCAGAGGGGCTGCTTCGCTGGCAGGACTTGCTCCTTCCTTTGGGGAGACAGAAACCGAGGAGGGAGAGAATTGAACTGAAACCCTTGGAAACCTCTCTCTCCTTCGGGAGAGGCCTTTTAGGGGGTGGGCTTTCCACCCTGGAGGCGAATGACTTGGATTTCCCTTAACCCCTAGCCGCCATGCGTGGTCTTCCACAAGGCAGGAGAATTCAGGGACGAAGGGCTTTAATGCCACACGATTCGAAGGGTACAGTAACCTTAGAGCTTTTGCCCGTCACGTATCTTTGCCCGAATACCTGCCCCTCTGTACCCACTGCGCTAGTCCCTCCATAGCCCTGCGAGTTCAGGAACTCAGTATATCGCCTGGCTATGACAGTATCATTTCACTGACAGGACACACCAGAACGGAGGCTGTAGGGAAATCACCCCCAAGGGCGGGATCCCCTGGCTTGCTGCTCTCTAATAGAGACACTCCTGGGCTTCCCTGGGCTCAGGCAGAATCAGGGAAGCGAGACCCGGGGGACAGCACCTCCCCCAGAGATGGCAGAAAGGCTGGCTCCGTCTGGCAGCCCTCTCCTAGGGGGAATGGCCCTGGGGCAGCTTTGCCTGGTGATGAAATGGTTAAATCCCCAATAGGATTTGGGTTCATATGTAAACTCAGCCCTGTTGCTTTAAAACAGGGCAACACAACTTAGACTCTAGGAAACTGTCTCTACAGTGGCCTTGAGAGCATCCCTGTTCCAGTCACCCCTCCAGGGAGAGGGTGGTGCATTCCTAGGACCATCCGAATCCCAAAGAGGGGTGGGGGGACTTGCCAATTCCAGCAGATGTTGTTGCTGAATTGCTCACAAACCCCAGGGTTGGAAATAAACCCAGCCGCACCCTGCAGCCTGGTGGGGGTGGGGCGCTAGTTAAATGTGATAGCATCTGACCCCGCTTCGCCTAGCAGCTTGTGGGGCGGGGATTGCATTCTACTTGAGGTCATGGGTTGAAATAAAATCATCTCTGTTGCTGTTTGAATTGTCAGGGCTTCTCCAGTCACCTCCCGAGGCATGGCATAGCTCGCTGAAAGGAGACCAGGCTTGGACAGCGATCCTGCCAGGCCCCTGAGCACCCTCCATTCCCCTGATGCCTGCTGAGGTGCTCGGCAGACCTGTTCATCAGTTCCCTCTGGAGCTGTTGGGATTGGCAAATGTGAGCAAATCCACCCGTGCCCTGAGCAAGCCCTCACACCCTTCGCCATCCACCAGCCACTTCTGTGCCTGAGCCTCCCCAACCCAAGACTACCATCTGCCTCTTACGGCCATTTACTCTGTTCACTCCGTTCACACGTCCTCAAAGGAACCTGGTTCAAAGAGACCCCTCCCTCCTCGTATGCAGTATTTTTGTTTCTAAAACCGAAGCTCACCCACGGGTCTAGAATAGCTTTTGCGTAGTTATGTCTGGGTTTGATGTTTTTTTTTTTTAAGGAGAACTTAAAGAGTAGGAGAATGCTTTACAGCAGGAGCTCTTTCTAAGGGTGCTGAACTTCGTAAGTCTAGCGTTTTAGTTCTGTGACTACAGTGTAAAGTTTTCAGCTATTAAAAGAAAACGTACAGCCCCTGACCGATACATTCTGGTGTTGACACTCGCTCTTTAAAGCGCTGATCAGCCACCAGATGGGACGTTTGCCTTTCATCTGAGCACATCCGAGCACTTTACAGAGGGATGGGAAGTCTATAAACCCCACTGAGATGTCGGTAAGGCCTACGTGGGCACCACTGAAATGCAGCCACCTCTGGGGTGAAATGCAGTAGCTGACAGCATTGCTACAAGGGGGATGTGCCCTGGCATCTTCAGTAGCTGAAAGAAAGCAGGAGCTCTGCTTTACATGGCAGCACCACGTTGGTGCATGGGTTCCTTGCGGAGTCAGGAGACCGCCACCTACTGGATTGCTCCAGGCCCTTCTCGCAGCTTGCTTGGAGGTCTCCCATCCCAGGGCTGAGCTGACCATGGCTCCTCTTAGCATGTAATGGGCCCTGACCAGTCGCAGCGCAGAATGGTATCCTGGCTGGCCTGTCTCCCCTGCACTTGGGAGAGCCTCCTGCAAACCAGCGTGCTCAGATCGAGGCGCCGAGAAACCAAAACTCTCAGCCGCTAGGACGATCCCGTTGTGTCCATTGTCTCTCTCTCGATGAGCACTTCTGCCCACAGTATAGCTCTGGTGCTCGGCAGCGTTTTCCAGTTTTGTCCGTATAATGTGCTACATCTTCATTAGTTTAAGACCCTTTTCCCCCGGTCTCTAGGAAGAAGATTGGGTTAAGTGACTGAGCCGGCAGGGAACCCTGATAGTTGTTCTACCATGCGCGGGGCACTGAGATCGGCATTTAGCAGCTGCCTCCCTGCCCAGGTAGACAGAGCAGGGCCCGGGGGGTCACTGCTGCTCCTGTCCTCAACCTCAGTCCCCTTCGGTGCTGGCTGTTACCTCCCAGTGACTTGGTGAAAGCTTACAAGGGCCACTCCCCCTTCTCCGCAGGAACAGCCCTAGCACCCTTGGGGGCTCCTCCAGAGAGGTGCAGTGTGGTAGAGTTGGTGCATTGTTGGGGGGCTGGGGGGATTGTTTGTGCATGGAAGTGATGGCACTTGGCGCTCTGTTCCAGCAGCTCTGACCTCATACATGGGACAGCAATGGGAATGAAAAGGGGCTCTCCAGGGGACAGACGTGACAAGTGTGAGACTGTACAGGCCTCTTATTGGTGATGGCCCGTCCCCCAGGCTGCTGCAAAGGGCCCACGGTTACAATTTCCTTTTGCCCCAGCTCTGCATTGTTACCCCCTGGGATAAAGATCTTCAGATGCCGTAGCAGGGAGACTCCATCTGGTCTCTCATTGTGCTGCAGCCAGGGGGTGAGGGATTAAAGCCCTTGCTCATTTCTGCTTCCCCGTTTTGTTTACACGCAGGCAGCTCCTTGGAGCTTCAGTGCCCTACACTCCTGCTGTCTGCAGTCATCGCCCGCCAGGGCCCCTTTCGGCCCAGCCCCTCACAGAGAAGTCATACAGCCATGCTCTAGGTGAATAAAGTCCAAGACCCAAACAGATTATCTAGTCTGACCCCCCATATAACAGAGGCCAGAGAACTCCCCCAAACTAATTCCTCCAGCAGAGCTTTTAGAAAACCATCTAATCTTGATTTAGACATTGCCAGTGCTGGAGGATCTCTCGGGACCCTGCGTAAATTGTTCCAAAGGTTAATTACCCTCACTGTGTCAAATGTACACTTTATTTCCAGTCTGAATGTGTCTGGCTTCAACTCCCAGCTGTTGGATCATGTTATTCCTTTGTCTGCTAGACCAAAGAGCCTGTTACCAAATATAGGGACTTACAGACTAGTCTCTTCTTAACCCACTCTATGTTCAGTGAAATGACACACGGAGCTCAATCTGTCTGTCTGGGTAACTGACAGCACTGGAGCAATGCTCCCCCCTTGGAAATAGTCTCCCTTAAGGCGAGCTTGATGCAGGTGGGAGCTCAGAGACTGGTGAGTTGTTCACGTCTGTGGTGTTTGCAAGCTGCTTGTGTGACTTTACCCCAGTGGTGGGGTTTCCAGCTGGTAGCCTGGTTCCCTGTACGCTTTGTATCTTGCCCCACCTGCCTGGAGCACATGGTAAGAAGACCCCCCTCACAGTCAGTGCAGCTCTGTGCTAGAATCAGCCGGGCGCCACAGAGGTGTGCAGAGTACATCTTGGCTGGACACTGCTCTTTGCAGATCAGTGGTTATGAGAAGTGTACTTGGAGAGAGCCCAGTTCTGCCCCAAAGCTTCCAGTAAACTACACACCCTTTGCTGCTGAAAGGCAGCCAACACAAGGCACCAGCTCAGCCCTGAGAGGCTGTACCTGGGGGCCTGGAAGATCTGTGTAATTGACTAACCTTCCCCCCTATCAATTTATCTAACCTGACAGAGTCATTGGATCTACCTAAGATTCCCATTTGTGGTTCCAGGGAGTCTAAGCATTGGAGTCTTTGTGTTTAGGCCTTTAAATCATTGCTCCTGGCAATGGATCCCTGCCCTTCCTGCCTTTACACTGGAAGAGCGCGTGCTTACTTCACACTCAGGTTCTGGGTTGCTCTGGAAATAAGTGAGAATGTGGGAGGGTCTTATCTGTAATAAACTGGGAGCAAAAGCCCCTGCCTTCCCCCACTGCCATCTGCTCTGATGCGCCAGCCCCAGCCTTTGTTTCTAATACACTGCTGCAGGCAGATGGCACCAGGCCTACCTTAGCGTGGGGGTTATTTATGTTCCAGCAACTGGATTGGAAGCCTGGTAAGATATCGCCAAGGCCCAAGGGATGAACTTTCAGCTGCAATGATGTATTCAGTCAATCAGAGCTGGCTTTAAATCCACAGGGTTTTGTTTAACTGGGGAGGCTGTAGGCCAGCAATGCAAACAGGTAACTGGAGCAGCAATTATCCTGTTTTCAGATGAGACACTTAGCGCTCACTTTTACAGGCGTAATATTCAGAGTGAGCGTTTTTCAACTGCTGGAGGCTGCAGGCGTTAAGTGGCCAGACAGCAGAGGACGTGTCTAGCTCTTTATGAAACACCTTGGAAAGTGCGGCCATTCAGATTGAGGGCGCAAGATGGCGTAATTCTGTCCTATCACTGTAGGGTGGCTTAGATGGAAGCATGATTTCTTTTGCTTTGTAAAGAAAGTCTGCTCTGTCTTGGACTGTAGCTGTTAAAACGGGGGATTGGAAAGCCAGACGTGAGTTTTTGTTTCCCAACTTTAGGGAGTGCTGGCAAGTGGTTAGAGCAAGGGATGGGGAGCTAGCATTCCTGCCTTCTACTCCTAGGGTAGCGTTTGGCACACTGTTGTGTGACTTTAGGAAAGCAGGGGGTAGGAAAGCCCAAATCACCAGATTGGGGTATTCATCCCTTCCTTGGAACAGGTGTTTTATAGCCCCACCTCATGAGCCCTCATCTCATTTCAGCACAAAGTAGCCGTACTCCCCTTCCCTGTGAATTTTTTTTGCCTGTTTAAAAGAAACATTCTCAAGCCGTTTGGGACACAATCTGTATGGTAGTCACCCTGCTAAAGGATCCAGTCCTGCTCTGACTGAAATCAGACTCCCAGCTGACTGCAGGAACAGTGCTCTGGGAAATCTAGTATACACAGAGAAGGTTGGTGAGTAAAAACAGGGATTAGGTAACCTGTAAAAGTGGAAGGCCAGAACGGCTGCTACAGTCAACTGTGGACAAGAAAAGCATCATCCCACAGGATCTGTTCTGCAAGGGAAGGACAAATAGTCTGGCCACAGCCGTGCTGTTGCCAGGAAAGCTTTTAACAAGATAAGCATGTAACAAGCAGTCACAAAGACGCAGTTTGCGGAATCAGGGATTTTGCCCTGAGAGCAACATGGAAAGGAGACAATGCACAAGGCACTTGGCTAAGAGTCAGAACTGCCCTGACTGGCCTGCGTGACCTTGGGCCCACTCTCTGTGGCCCAGTTTCGGCATCTCCAAAGCGGCATCTCATGACGCTTTCACACGGTTGCAAAGCATTGTGAGATTGATGGATAAGAGCGAAAGGAGCCGTGTCCTGTAGCAACCTCCCTCGGGCCTCAGCATTGCAGCTGTACCACAGAAGCCGCACAGGAAGTTCGGGGGTTGGGGAAGGGTCTGTCACATCCCTCTCCCCAGCGCTTGTAGTCAAATCTTCGCAGGCCGCCCGAGTCAAACCCCGCTCTGGGTCGCAGGCCGAAAAGGGAGGGATTTTTCACATCAGAATGGTGGGAAATGGGTCCAAGCTGCAGCCTGCCTTGGTTCAGGACCCTAGGAGATGCTCAGAGCTTCGCAGACACACACGTGGTGCCAACCCCACTGCGTCTCAGGAGCCACCGCCTGGGAGCGGAGCCCGGCCCCGTGCAGCCCTTTCCGCCCGGTTTCCGGTGAGCTCCCGAGCCGGAAGCGTGGCACCCTGGCGCCCAAGGCCCTGAGCCCCGGCCTCTGGGGCAAACGAGACCCAGGCTGGGGCCCCAGCGGACGCCCCTCCCAGCCAGGGCCCCTGGAGCCCAGCAAGTTCATCCCTCCAGCCGCGTGGCCTGGCCGCGGCCCGCCCAGGACAGGCTGAGTTTAGAGACCCCGCAGCTTGCCAAGAAGGCCCCAACTGGCTACTATCTATATGTATCCGTTTGCCACTAGCTCCGCCTGCCCAGGCTCTCTGGCCAATCAGCAGGGCTAGCCCCACCCTCTTTCGCGCCTCTGGCCAATGAAGCGGGAAGGGGGCGCGGTGGAATGCTCGCCCCGCCCCGCCCCGCGCCACCGACCAATCAGAGCACGAGGGGCGTGACTTCTCCCGAGCCCCTCGGAGAGGCAACGGGCGCGGCTCCCGCCTCCTGCCCAATCAGAGCCAGAGGGGCGCGGCTTCGGCGGCGCCCGGCCCCGCCCCGTCGCCGGGCTGTCCAATCGGCCGGCGCGCGGGGCGTGGCCGGCGCGGGCCCCGCCCCCCCGGCGGCCCGGCCCGGGCCCCGCCAGCCGCGGGCGCGGCCAGTGCGGCGGCGGCGGCCCCATGGAGCGGCGGGAGGGCCCCGGGCCCGGCTCGGCCGAGGCGCTGGCCGCCCTGGCCGCCTTCGGGAA